CGACTTTTCATTTCGACTTTGACCTCCAAAGTCGAAACATTTCGACTTTTTGGGTTTTCATTTCGACTTCATATATAATTGGCACATATATCACATTATTAGCTGTAGATCCTACTTCTATTGGTTAGAAGTGAGAAGAATCTTCAAAATTATTATATAATACAGTATGCTACCTTATTTTCATCCTAGCTTATCAATTCAACCCTTACCAATAAAGTATAAATAGACTAACATAAACTCTTTTTTCACCTTAATGGCGTCTCAGAAATCAATTGCATTACTTCTATTGAGTTTGAATCATAGAGTGACTCCTGATCTTTTCTCTGAACCCTTTCAGAGAGCTGAACCTTATTTGGCTTGCAAAGAGGAAATTATAAACTCACATATAATATTTCAATGTGAACATACTTTTCACATTAGATGTTGTCGTGCAAATTCAATTTGCTCTGAATGGTGTCTGGAGTGTCGAAGCAATGTTATTGAATAGCTTGAACAACTTGGTTTTAAAAATATGAGTAGAGAAGAAAGATTGTCAGCTTTTATACGTGAGGTGTCGACTGAAGTAATTGATATTGATAACAATTCATCAGAAGTAATCCCTCAGAATCAGCCCTTAGAGCTTCTACACAAATTATCTTGAAAAGTTGATAAGGCCGATTTCTATGCCATCTATTGCTATTACAAATTTAGCTTAGCAGTAATCATTCGTCTCAATGAATTAATAGAGAAAGGGTAGAAGAGGGCACGACATAAGTTAAATATGGAGGTTCTAAGATATTTACCAGTTGATACTTTTCTAACCATAGCAAAGGATAAAATTAAAAAGGTTAGAAAAATGTATGACCTTTTTAGTGCTATAGATCTATCTAGAATTCAATTAGTTCGTTCATTTTCTGTAAACCAGCTCTCATCTTTTAAAGAAGATGATATCAATTTCTTAAAAACAAAATTACCAAAGCCTAGGATATTATGAATATGCGAAACACCTTGAGTGTTTTATTATGTCATTTTATGTCTTTTTTATGTCTTATTATACGTACAATCCATATGTCATACTTTCCTTTAATAGAAACTCTTAGCACGTGATCTTATAGCTGATGTGAGATCATACTAGATAAATTTGTAGATATGTTATTCTTTCTTTTGGTAGTCATTTTTTAGTATGTGTGATCTTTTTATTTCTCATAATTGATAAGTAAAAACATAATAGATAAATTTGTAGTGAATGAAGGGATAACAAATCTTATATGTCTAAACATTTAAGCATTTAGCTTTTTTCAGCTTGGCCAACCATAATACTCAATAAAAGTACTTTTCATTTTTACAGTTTTATTTATATATTGATCGGGTCCTAAGGGACTTTATAATACATATATTCTAATATACTATTTAACACTCATAAAGTGATAGTATAAATCAATTAAGTATTATTTACAATTATGAAAAAATAATAGCTAGTCTCTTCTCAAAATTCGCTATTGATGTTTCTATTTTACAATAATAAAAAAAATTATCCTATTCTTCTTTTTCATCTGAAGTACAAGCGTAATTAATAGTGACATTTATAACATTGGCGCTTTAGAAAAAAGAAGGAATGTTAGTTATGACGGGTTTAGAGATTGTAGGTATTTCGATAGATAGGATTACAAGTCTTGATGCCCTATAAATAATATGTATAAGGAAAGTATACGAAAATAATACGTTTAAAAACGTATAATAAACGTAGATAAACAGTATAATAAATTCATAAATATTTTTGTATACTAGATACTGAAAATCAACTTTTTCCGTATGCAGAAAAATACGGAATTTATATGTCTAATCAGTATATTGTATACGTAAATTTATATAGATTTTATACGTCTAATCAGTATATTGTATAGGTTATTTTTGATTAGTATTTCTATATATTAGATACTGAAAATCAACTTTTTCCGTATGCAAAAAAACACGGAATTTATGTTTAATCAGTATATTGTATATGGAATTTTGCATATATTTTTTACGTCTAATCAGTATATTATATACGTTATTTTTAGTTGGATTTTTACGTCTAATCAGTATATTGTATACGTTATTTTTGGTTGCATTTTTTACGTTTAATCAATATATTGTGTATATAATTTTAGTTGGATTTTTTATGTTTAATCAGTATATTGTATATGTTATTTTGGTTGGATTTTTATGTTTAATCAGTATATTATATACATTATTTTGGTTGGATTTTTTATGTTTAATCTGTATATTATATACATTATTTTGGTTGGATTTTTTATGTTTAATCAGTATATTATATACATTATTTTGGTTGGATTTTTATGTTTAATCAGTATATTGTATACGTTATTTTTGGTTGGGTTTTAACATATAAACATTAAATTATATACACA